CCACCCGCTATGCCAGTGCTACAATTTTGTTGAAACAGTGATAAATCCCATAAAATTGATCTTCGGTAGTTCATATTTATGTTTAATGTTTTTTGGAATAACATAAAATAACCTACAAGATAATCATTTGTATATGTTTAAGAGATGTCTTTCGTGATATCATTCAATCTAAACCACAGTTGGACGTATTTGCTGACCCGGTTAATGTTCTATATATTGTTTCTAATAAAAAAATTCATTTTATCACTTTCGGTTTATTGTGTCACCAATCACTCCGTAGTATATAAGTTTTTGTGCTTCAACTTTTTAGTTTCTGCAAACTGGATTACAATTTATTCACTTTAATTCCTGAAGGTTTAATGCCTATTTTTTCGTAGTCACACTTTATATTTTCCGGGTATTGTTTAATCTATATCTTAGTATAAGCGGTTTCCAGGAATTGTGGAATTTTCACAGTTTAAATCACGAACTGATCTTGGCTAGACTACCATTGAAAATCTGGAATCTGTGTCGGGTGCACATTATCATGATTTGATTGGAGTTCGAAATTAATGCCAATGGATGCCGGCTATGTGATCTAGAGGTTTAGCGCTCGCGGGCGAGGTCGTAGGTTCTGGGTTCTCTTTCTGGATACGAGGTCGTGAATCCGCACTGCTGAGCAGTCTCATGCTTGGACAAATCGTCCGTTCAGTGCTTTCAAGCCTTCAGTGGTGACCTAACTAACATCAGTCCGTGATCTAAATTGCGAGAATAATCCAGATTTGTTATTGTCACTGCTAGTTACGTAACTGTAAGTTAAATATACTGTGTCTTTTATCAATTTATGTACATTAACATACATTAATGGCTTATATTGTATTGAAAGTGATATATCCCTCATACTTTCCTGTTATGATTTGGAGAACTAAAGTGATCCTGAATAGAACAAAATAAATTCCATGATTTAATTCATATTTATATTAGGATATAAGCTGATCATTAACATATACCTTGGAACATTTAATAAATAGCACTGGCTCAAACAGGTACAGATTTATCTACTCACTTTTCACCAATACCATTTGTGTGAAGGACAGTTGTACGATCTGGTTACGCATAGCAGAATAAGTGTAGCAAGCGCCCGACTTGTGACATGTTGATAAATAAATTATTTCTTTAGCCACGATGAAACAACCAATTGTTTTCTTATCTATTATATTTTCTAATCATTTAGTCCTCTAATACGTGATATGTCTCTATGATATTTGTTCACTTTAGTGTGAGAATGAATATTGCTAGTTCAACTTGCCTTATAACACTTGAATGAAATTGGTGAGATATCGTTTGTTATTGTATGTAAATTGTGTTGTGTCTTACCGAAGATTGTATTCTGGTCACTTTTTACACAGTAATTTAATGTCGTATATTTTTTCTTCGAAACACCGCACTCCTACATTGTTTCTTTAACCGAACTCAGATATATATTCACTTAGCTTTTTCATGGTTCTTTTTAGTTGGACATCTAGTGCAGTTTTGTTTCTTGATTATACTGTATGCTTAATTAGGATTCTTTTTCTGTTTTTAATACAAACTAATTTCCATATACTTCAAGTGATTAGTTTTAATTATACTCTTAACAATCGGTTGTTGATGTTCTTCCCATATATTATATTATTAATTATTTGTTTACATAGTTGATTGACGTAGATTAACTGAAAAAGTTTGCAGATGTGTTAAGTAGTGAAGTTTAACCGAGTGCAAGATAGAAACAAAAATAATAGTTGCACCCTATTCGTAACATTATCATTATACACATAACCCTCATTTTCACTACTTTATATGCAATCACTTAGCGGTGGAAATGTTCACTTTTTGTCTCCTTAATGCATGTTGTGGTTGATTTCAAAACTTTGAATATGAATGCATCTTTAACAGTATACTATTATCTAACCTTTTACTCATATTGCCTAAAATGAAAAACTAGAACTATGAGTGTGGACAGATTATACAAAATCGAATTAAATTCTACTTGTGAATATATTTGTATTACGATATCCAGTAATTATTTATTGATGTAGCCTATGAATTTCGACCTGTGATCATATAATGAATGTATTTTATACTCGAAAAATTTATTTGGTACTCATTAAATACCTACTACTTTATGAGAATCAGGAGTAGTCTCTTGTTTCACTGAAGATCCGTTGCCTGTGGCACTTCTACTCTTGACGGTAAATTACTCCTAAATGTAACCTATTTCTTCAAATAGTTTGACAAATGCTATAAATTAAAAAAGGAATACACTTTGGACCTACTTTTAGCTACTTGATAAGTAGTTTATGGAAGCTTTCTAATAGTTTCTAAGTATTTTATGTAACTGGAAGTTGTTCAAATTTAAATTTCTTATTTTCTGAATCAATAGAATATATGATTATTCAAATCTTCTGTACTCTCTACCAGTTGATAATAGCGTTTATCCCTAAAGTTCAACTTTTGTGTTCTTTTTTTAAAAATTTACTTACACAATTTCACGAACGGTCTTAAAAGTGTCTAAAGAAGTAAAATGATTACAATTAAAACTTATATTTTCTTAGTAAGTTTGTTCACTTTCAAATTAATTTTTGGTTAATATTAAAGCCTCTACTTATCACCAACTCGTAGAAAAGACCAATTTCAATTAGTATGTTTTATTAATACCTTTTTTGTATGTATATCGATTTTATAAAGTATTTCGGTACATAGGATCAAGATTGCAAAGCGAATCTATCGTCGACTCTCCATGTAGCGTTATTTTTTCTTTTGTAACAGTCAGTCCACGTGAATTTCACAGGAAATTCTTTATCATGTCACTTCTAGTACGACTAGTTATTCACTATCTCTAAAAATTTTAAATAATTTTTAGTTTTATGTTATGTAAATAAAATTATGAACCACTTGTAGTAACCACAGTTTTTCATAAACTGACATTTTTCCTTTTAAGTTAAATATATATAACCTCTTTAATTGGAATCCCGCAAAAAATATTGTTGTCATATGTTCATTTCTCTGTTAATAAGCAATACATTTTGATCAAAACACTTAGAAATTACTTCAGCCATTGTTTTTTTTTCGTACCAGTGTATCCAATTTCTGTACAGATGTCTAATGGACAATTTGAAAATCATGGGGTAGTGCAGTAGCATAAAATCCTTCCTCATATTTCTGTTCAGCCTCAACGGATAACCTCCATATACGTAATTCATAAATGAAATTAGCTGTGGACTAGTATCAACTCCTATGCTTATGACATAACTGACTGTCGAAGTATATTAATCACTATTTCCTGTATGGTCATTAAACTAAATGCTCAATTTTAGTGAAGCCTGATTGTAGTGTCCTTAAATATCTTCACTCAGAGAAGTCCCTCAGAGTTTTCAGCGTTCATTTTGTAAGGACGATACAAAATTAAGGTTTGTGATTTTCAACCGACTGGCTTTAAATGTCTTGTCTTGTACCAGAAAGAAATTTACAGTGTAACGTCACTCTATTTGGTCGCTTCAATGCATTTCGGGATTGGTAAACTAAACTTTGATCAGTGCTTGGGACAGTTTTGGCTAGTATCAAGAAGTTACTTCGTGTCTCAACTGCATTAAATTCCATGAATGTTGTTATTTTTATTTGGTAACGGCGCGGTTAAGTAGCCTGTTCGATAATAAACGCTTTATTGTACGTACGTATAATCGGAATCACTAACATTTACTCAACAACAGTCATAACATGACAACAAAATTCTAATATCCCATGACACTTTAAATGACAACCTAGTCTAATTATCAAACTATTCACACAATAATGTATTGGTCAGCATTACTTATCTCATTTATACACGAAATAGCCTAAAGCGTCCACTCAATATACAGAACTCTCATTTTCAAAATATTCTTAGTCATTTGTGATATCCAAACTCATTTATTCGTCAGTATGAGTTATCAAAATTGTCAAATTTCATTAGAATCGTGAACCAAGCAATGTTAGGCCCTGAGCTCGAGTCCCGTGTGCGGTATTGTGGATACGCAATACTGATAAGTCCCATAATAAGACGAAACAGCCATCCAGTGCTTATAGGTTTTCAATGGTGGTCTCACGTTGATCGGTTCATGATTTCATTCATTTATATTTTGTAAGTTGTGTTTTTAGCGTCATTGAACAGTTACTGAAAATCAAAGATCCCTCTGTGTAGTGACTCACTTCACTGACTGATGATTTAGTGGGTTAGTTAAACATCAACCAGATTATAAGCAAACGCTATTGATCAAGTTTAGACTCCCTTTTCTAAGGAGAGAAGCACGCTGCTAGTTGAAAATGTGACCTCTTTTGTGAAGGGAAATATATGTTTGTTTATGAATAATTGTACATATATTCTCCGCTCGGTTTAACCAATAAAGTATTCTTCTAACTGGCTGTCCTCTCACCCAACTAACCTGTTGGGGTTGCATGTACGAAGTTTATGTATCAGCGTCATAATCAGATACTTCGTAACACAATACTGAATTTCTCCGGGCTTAGGGTCTTATTATTAATGCATCTTACTGTCAGACTAATGAATTTTGATTTCATGCTTCTTGTTTATCTACCTCAAGGTGTTTGTAACCCTTCGACAAACCGGACTAAAAACTTAAACATGTGCATACCGATAAGTTTCTTAAATTTAGAAAACATAGACTTCTAGATCCTAGTATAGTCAAATAACAATTAAAAAATGAATATCTCAGTGTAGATGACAAAAATAGTAATGCATTCAAAGTTGTAATTAAGAATAAAATTACTGTTTCTGTGTCATGAATTTTTTTTTAATAGAAAACTTTATTCGTTATTTGGCTATACTAAATAAATTGCGTCGACCAACCACTTTACCTGATAACTTGTTTGTAAATTTGTTACTAAAAATGATGTATCCTATTATAATATTGCTGTTCGTAAAATATACCAATTTCTAGGTGGAAGAATTATTATTTTGATTTGACCTTTGACCATTTTTTCAGATGAATTACAAGTTCAATCCAAACAGTTTCAGGCAGTTGCTGGTCGTGTACGAAGAAAATACTTTTGGCAAAATATGAAGGTAAATTGACAAGGAGAAAAAAATAATGTTTCGTTAACGATAAGTTAATGGTTTGTTGAAGCTTTTAATTTTATGCCATTTTTCTAGGATTTTCCATACCTAAATGTGTTATTGGATGATAAACATTGTCTATTTATCTCGAAAAAAAAGTAATAGATATTTAGTTATGTACTGTCTAACAAAGGTGTTCTAGGCTACTGTGCTACTGTTGCCAGAAAAACAAAAATGTAAAATTATCAGTATGGGGTTGTGGAGATTGTTAAGCTTTTGGTTGAGATCACTAGTGACTAGCTTCGTGAGGGAATTCTCGGAGTTCTAGTGAGAAGTCGTGACCAGTGGAGCTAATCCGTGTCGGGTAAAGACAGGTATCTACCTCAGTACAATGGAAGGTGGTCGCGCAATTTCGTGGATTGGTTGATGTTAGACACTAACACCATTGGATGCCGGCTCAGTGGTCTAATGGTTAAGTGCTCAGGCGCGAAGCCAGTAGGTCCTGGGTTCGAATCCCGCGAGGCGCGGGATCGTGGATGCGCACTGCTGAGGAGTCTCATACTATTACGAAACGGCCGTCCAGTGCTTCCAGGTTTCCAACGGTGGTCTAACATCAATTAATTCATGATCTCACCCAAAAAAATGTAAAAGTAGATATGATGGATTGACTGGGTAAATGGACACAAAGAATTCGACTGGTAAGTTTAGCAAACTCTATTCCAAACAAGTCGCATATTCGTCTTAATGTTCATAACAAGCTATTAATGTAAAAACGTTTTATGTTCTCTGGTTATCACGGAACTAATTTTTCTAACGGTACGTCTTTGCCTTATGCATAGGTGGTTTCATTAAAGGTTTGTAATGGCGATCACTTTTCGGAAAGTAACCAATTCAGTTTTAACACCTCAATATTATCTTAACCTTCACTTCATGTATAACATTTAGAAATAAGAAATTTAAATGATTCGCCTTTCAAATATATCCTTACGTACTTCAATAATTTTATTTTAAACTCGATTTCTGTTATCATATATATTTGCGCAATTCTACATATACTTCCTTTATGCTCCTTCTCATCTTAATTTCAGTCTTTACCTCTGTAGCTTGTATCTGTTGAATTTCTGATTCATCTAAGAAGTTTACAAATAGTTTCTTCTTGAATGTAGTATTTCAGTCGTGTAATCGACGTCGTTATTCTGTAATCACATGTTTCGTCGAAACATTTCACTGATTCTGAAAATACCTAGGAAATTTATTGGTATCATGAAACCTCCATAAAAAACGAAATCAGGTAAACTGATTATACACAATCACTTCACCTACATTATTTCAAATCATGAGTCAACTTCTGTAGGGCTATTTACTCTGACCATCCCTCCTCAACTTTTCATCGATAGCATTGTGAAAACAGCTCTTAATAAAGTATGTAGTAATGGTTTAGTTTTGTTAACAAAGTATGTAGATGACTGTTGAGTCGGCTTCCGGAAAACTTCAACGGAGCCTCCAGAGGCCCAAAAGGAGCCGAAGGATCCTAGCCAATCAGAGTACGTTCGAGAATTCCAGCGTGGCGTGCTATTATTAGTCGGTAGCATAATATGACGTTAACGGATTGGCTGAAAATATGATGTTGATTTAACAGACGCCAACATCTATAAATACCCTTGATTTTCTGTACAAAAATGAACCTTGGGATTAATATTTTCTTTCATACTTGTGTCTTCTCTCTGGAGTTCGAGTCGCTGTGTAGTTCTAAACTGCGGGTTACCGAAATAGCTTAGGAATCGTATATAGCGTTTCATCGACAAGACGTGTCAGTGGCGACGGAGATGAAAACTACAATGAATATTTCCTTGGAGCAATTAGAAGCCTATATGGTGCGTCAAGAAAAGAGGTTTGAAGAGTCCCAAATTAGAATCATGGAAACCCTGGTGCAGAAATTCTGCCTGTCCGAGAGAAACCCTGCTTCTAGTGAATTTCAAATATCACATACTGATTCAGTCATTAACGCCATCCATGAATTTAATTTTTATGATGTAGCAGGTGTAACTTTTGAGTCGTGGTTTAAGAAGTATGAAGATTTGTTTTATATTGATCTTTGCATACTGGATGATGCTTCAAAAGTCAGAATACTTAGAAAACTTGGGACTATGGAACATGAACGCTATAGCGACTTCATTCTTCCGAAGAATCCACGAGATTTTAGTTTTGATGATACAGTCAAAACCCTGTCCCAAATCTTCGGAGAACAATCATCTCTATTCAATATCCGTTACCAGTGCTTAAAATTAACGAAAGAACCAGGAGATGACTAGGTGAAGCATGCAGGAACTGTGAACCGAGAATGTGAGAGGTTCAGATTGTCGTCCATGTCTGAAGATCAGTTTAAATGCTTAGTGTTTATCTGTAGCCTGCGCTCACCCGAGAATGCCGATATCCGAACCAGAATCCTAAGCAAACTCGAACACTGCCCTAACATGACCCTTCAGGAAGTGACTACCGAGTGTCAAAGGTTAGTAAACGTGAAGCATGATACCTCAATGGTAGAAAACGGTAACTGTTTCCATAATGTCAATGCAGTCAAGAAAAAAGTCTTTCAAGATTCCAGCACACATAATTATCGTAATAACAGGGACAAACCATCATCTCCATGCTGGGCATGTGGAGGCTGGCTCTATCAGAGGTTTTGCCCATATAAAGAACATCGTTGCAGCAAATGTCATCGGAAGGGGCATAAAGAAAACCTCTGCAGGAGAAGAAACTATAAACAACATTCTTTGAAACCTTACTCAAAAAAATACAGATATAGTGCTCCAACCAACAGAATATTGGTATCACGTAACAAAGCACGAAGTTGCCGCCATAGAAAGTACGTAACATTGAATATTAATAAACACCGTACTCGCCTCCAGCTTGACACAGCTTCTGATATTACTCTAATCAGCCCAGAAACATGGAAGAACATTGGAAGACCCACATTCTTCCCAACAACACAGCTGGCACACGGTGCATCTGGGGGGGAAGTTAAATATTATTGGAGAAGTACCATGCACTGTTTCCAAAGGTACTGTAACAACAAATGCAACAGTATATCTTACAAAGAAGCCAGCACTCGACTTGATGGGGTTGGATCTTATAGAAACACTTAAACTAGCAGACTATTCTATTAACAGTATCTGCAGACGAGTCAGTACTGACAACACCTCAGAATGGAGCCAGAAAAATGCCATGCTACAAAGACACCAAAACGTGTTTAAAGAAGGATTGGGGGAATGTACGAAGGCCAAAGCGGTGTTAACCCTAAAACCTGCAACTACTCCCGTTTTTCGACCTAGGAGACCCGTATCATATTCTGCTCTACCAGTGATTGAACAAGAACTAGAACGACTTCAGAAACTAGGTGTCATTGAACCAGTGAATTTCTCAGAATGGGCCGCACCGATAGTAGTAGTAAAGAAGACCAATGGTAGCGTTCGTTTATGTGCCGATTACTCAACCGGGTTGAATGAAGCCTTAGAAACCCATCAGTATCCATTACCCTTACCTGAAGATCTTTTTTCTAAACTGAACGGAGGTAAGCTTTTTGCAAAGTTGGATTTATCAGAAGCTTATTTACAAATCCCTGTTGCTGATGAGTCTAAAAACCTGCTTACCATGAACACACACAAGGGTCTATTCCGGTATAATCGACTACCCTTCGGAGTCAAGACGGCCCCATCCATATTTCAGCAAATAATGGATACTATGTTACAAGATGTTTCAGGTGCTGCAGCTTACCTAGATGATATAATAATTATGGCAGTAGATAGAGTAGACTTAGAAAAGAAGCTCGACCGGGTGCTGACGCGAATAGCCGAATATGGACTTCGACTTCGTCCAGAGAAATGTGACTTCTGTATGCAAAAAGTACGCTACCTTGGGTTTATAATCCACAAAGATGGAAGAAGACCAGATCCGGAGAATACCCTGGCAGTGAAAACTATGCCCAGACCGACAGATATCCCCACACTACGATCCTTCTTGGGACTAGTTAGCCATTATGGAGCTTTTATTCCGAACCTTCATCAATTACGTGCTCCCCTGAATAACCTTCTGGTGAAGAATGTAAAATGGAGTTTGTCTGCAACTTGCCAAGCCGCTTTCGATGAAATCAAGAAAGTACTAGTCTCGGATCTGCTGCTCACGCATTACGGTCCAGAAGTATATCGAGTTTTGGAAGACGCAGTTGATGGTTTACCAGTTACTTTCAAGGCCATCAAAGAAGCCACGGAAAATGACAAGACTTTAAGAGAGGTTAGTGGTTATCTCCTCACCAAGTAGCCGAACCGTCGTTTTCAAGGAGAAATGCTACAATATTTTCGCCGACGGGACTCACTTATGATGGTCGACTCATGTATTATGTTTGGTGACAGAATTATTGTTCCAAAAGTATTACACTACAAGGTTCTGAGACAATTCCACAGCGGTCATCCTGGTATCAATAAGATGAAAGCATTGGCTCGAAGCTACGCATACTGACCTACGATGGATCAATATATCGAAACCAGGTGCCTCAATTGTTCATCGTGCCTACAAGCAGCCAAAAGTCCAAGCAAGTGTGAACCGCAACAATAGGAAAAGCCGAATAGTCCCTGGGAGAGGAAGAATGTATCTAGTCATAGTAGACGGGCTCACAAAATGGACACAAATGTACGCCATGGTGAATTGCGCAGCCAGTGAAACAATCAGTAAGTTATCCGACCTGTTTGGCTGCTTTGGAGTCCCGCAGACTTTAGTGACCGATAACGACTCACAATTCACTGCAGAATCATGCAAGCACTTCTGCAACGTTAATAGGATTGCACACATACGATCTCCACCGTATCACCCTCAATCAAATGGCCAGGCAGAACGCTTCGTGGATACATTGAAAAGAGCCCTACTGAAAGGTGGGGCGAAAGGACGACATGGCAGGTGATCACAAAATTTTTGACATCCTACAAATCCACCCCGAACCCGAATGTTTCCGACAGCAAGTCTCCCGCCAAAGTCATTTTCGGAAGGCGTACTCAAACCGTCTTCGATGCCATGTTGCCATCCAAATTAGTGGATGAGCGCAGTCACAATCCAAGTATCCGGAACTTCAATCTTGGCAACAAAGTTTACATTAAATCCTACATCGGGAAAAACCGATGGAAACTGGGAGAAGTTGTGCAAAAACTGGGAGGAGTTCTGTACAGAGTTCGAGGAGCTTTTGGGACATGTATACGACACGCAAATCAAATCCTTAAGGACAAAAGGACGGTGCAGACTCGAAGTAACCGGCCGAACTTCCCGTTGGATTTAATCTTAGATGCACCAATGCCACAAATGCCCAGGAACACTGAAAAGATGCCTTGGACAAGGAAAACGACAAGAATAATGGGACGCCGTCGCTACCCAGTCGTCAAACTACAAGTAGATCCCAGAAAGAAATCTTATTCGGAGGAAGGTGTTGAGTCGGCTTCCGGAGAACTTCAACGGAGCCTCCAGAGGCCCAAAAGGAGCCGAAGGATCCTAGCCAATCAGAGTACGTTCGAGAATTCCAGCGTGGCGTGCTATTATTAGTCGGTAGCATAATATGACGTTAACGGATTGGCTGAAAATATGATGTTGATTTAACAGACGCCAACATCTATAAATACCCTTGATTTTCTGTACAAAAATGAACCTTGGGATTAATATTTTCTTTCATACTTGTGTCTTCTCTCTGGAGTTCGAGTCGCTGTGTAGTTCTAAACTGCGGGTTACCGAAATAGCTTAGGAATCGTATATAGCGTTTCATCGACAAGACGTATCAATGACAACTTCTTTCTGTACAATGTTGTGTAGCCTATATGAATCGCATTTTATTAGCTGGCAATAATCGTCTCTGAGTATAAATTATACTCTATTATTTCAAAATGCTTCTAAATGGAAGGGATGAACTGTGTCTGTTCTTATACTTAAGAGTAAACTGTGATAAATATTTGAACTGTTTTTGCATTTGAGTAGTTGTACGGACAGGTGGTCTAGCAGAAGTTTATTGGTCTACGTTTATCGAAAAAGTGAGCAACTCATATCAGTTTAAATCTTCTTTGATGTTGTTCCGAAGTCAGTTTGATCATAAATCATTGGGTGCATAACACTGCGTTACAAGTGGTTTCGCCCTGTGACTATGAAGCCTATTCTCTCTGGACTGAGAATGTTCAAGAAAATATGTTTCCAGTTATCAGTTTTTTAAGTAATAATCTTAATCAGTAACAAAACGTTTAGCAATACTGAAGTTCCCCAGCGAGTTTTCGTCAAAAAATAATTATCACTATTCTTTCGGCGATATCATCATGAATTCATTTGATTCATGACGTTTCATTGGCTTAAATATCAAACACATACCCTGGTACGACCGAATTTGGGGAGAGTCCGCTCTCCCCCTCGAAATGCTCTCACATGGCCACGCGTATACAACCACTGCCAGAATAGTCCTACTCACTTCCTTCTCATGGCGGGTGCGTTGTTTACGCAATTGAGAGAACGAAAAGTGAATGTCCGGTACTTTAATTGGAATCGTGGATACAAAGGATCCACCTAGAGAAGTTATAAAACCCTGATTCCAAACCAGTCGTGTACATGGGCTTCAGGATCCTAAGGGAACAAATGGCGTGTGAACCAATCGTTGGCCACCGGTAACCATGGGACTGCATCTTCCGACGTTGCTCTACGGCCTTGTGGATCAGACCCGTAGGTTGAAGACTTCGGGAGTGGCCCCCTAGGAAAACCACCCGCTTCGGTTTGGGCACCCTGGCAGTATCATAGCCTAAATACAAGTCAAGTGACTTGTGTGGCCCATATGTCTTCTGTTCGCCTTTGTACCAATATTTATTTGTTCGAATAAATAAATTAGTCTGGTGATTCTGGGAATGGAGTGAAGGCACGAGTATATAGCTAGTCTTTCAATACAGCATCGTAGAATGAAGGTGGGTTTATTTTTTTAATATCTGTTATTTTATCGTGACTTATTAGTTAGAGTTATGGAGATCATGCTACTCAGTCGTTTGAGTTATTATCAAATACAACTGAAAATCATCAGTGGTTATCATATTAAAGTTGCTTTTGTGTTTAAAACAAAGTAGACAGACTTCTTTTGTAGGGAAAGAAACCAATCTCAATTACTTACGCACACAGATTGTATTCGTTTTGTTCCTTTAAACCACTTTGTCATCTTCCTTTTTTCATTTCTTCTTAAATCTGTAACTTCTTTTTGGCGTTCTATTCTATTAATATAATTTTGATATTTCATAATAAATAATATGAGTATCAGAAGTATAACAACCAAGGATTGACTTAATTTCAAATAAACTGAAAATTAAGTACAATGTTAACAATCAAATAATGTATTTGTAATTATCTCAATGAGTAGAAATTTAGATTTCTGATGTTTCACGACTTCATTTGAATGGCTTCTTCAGAGTAAACTTAAATTATCTTGCAAAATATCAGTAATTCTAATTTCTATTCGTTAGAACATCACAAATCAATCCTTGTTCGATTTGGTAAATTGTTGAGCCATGATTCCGATTCGGAAACCACAGCGTCACTAAAACCCCAGTCAGTTCATACTTATGCTTAATTTAACTGTTTCAGATAGGGTTTTTATATGATTTTTAAACAAGTGATTACTTGCAATGCACTATTTCAGACTGAAATTTTTTAATCAGGTAGAAAAAGCTGAAGAGGTAATTCAACAAATATATCGTTTGACTGTGTTACTTAAGGTTTCTTATGGAAATATAAAGCTATTAATTACCAGATCACAACAAATACACACCTCTCCCATCGGTTCTGTTTCACCATAGTGTCATGGACTTACCTGTCACTTTATATTAACCTGTAGTATATTGATTGGAATAATTAATTTTCAATTAGTTAATATCGAGTTCGAAAGCCCACATCATAGATTATTACCCTCTAAGCAATGAGCGAACCTCGTAGTCAGGTATACGAACCCTTATGTGCTCACTGACTTACGTTAATTTTAGAACGTAAGCTCAAGTAACCTCATTTGTGAATAATATGCAATTCTGCTTATTTAGTTATAAGTAACTATGTTGTGCAGTTTGACATATTTCCTTCCTTAACAAACTGATATTTTGTAAATTTACATTTCTTAGAGTTATCATTTTATTTCTGTTTCTGACGATTATTGATCATAAACATTGTCACTGAATCAATAAACAGAGAGCGTTACAGTATAAAATTTTGCTGATTGGTTTATTATGTAAAATGTTTTAATTGATATGTGTGTTTGTTTATAAGTTGCGTATGCATCTGCAACTCTAAGTTACTTTTTATGTCAGTACGCTTAAATGACTTATTTAGGCGCCAGATTCATAGGTTTTTTTTCTTAATTTAGTAAATGCAATCCGTACATGTTGATTGAATTATGTTAAACTGTAAAACGTCTAATTACATAGAAACTTAGTTATTTCTGTTTGTAGATGTAAATTAGATGGACTATTTGGTCTTAGATTTATGCAGTTAGAATTTTCTCTTTACCAAAGATATTTTTCTGCTGGATTAATCTCATAGGAAATCCTAATGCTTAATAAAATCGTCGATACTCCTTTTGGGAACCAAGGTGGATTCTCTCACAGCGGAGAGATCTTAGTCTACTAGAATTAATTTTAATCATACTTTCTTTTCAACCGAACAGATTCAGTACTGAATAAAATGTTCCCCTTTTTGTTAAAAAAAATCTACATATACTTCATTAGAATGCTGCAACTCAATTAATTCTGTTTCTAATTCGTATTACCTTACAAGTAATAATTAGTGTATTATAATGACTTAAACAATACAACAAATACAGTTAACAGAGCAATTGTTTACGTACAATTAAAATCACTTTGAATACACTGGGTTCACCAAAATTCTTTCCAATGGTAAGTGTGCGTGATTGGCCAAGATTAATTTTGATTTTCTAAGGAATGATATATATATATAACCATAGGAATCGCTCCTCATCTAGTATCAGTGACAAGATTATTTTGTGTGCTATAAAATGTATTTTGTCTCAAAAGTTAGCATCAATCGTAAGTTCCCCAACTAACAAGATGTTATTTTATATTACAAGCTTTAAGTAATTTCAAAAGTATTCACTGAAGCATCAAGAACTTGTTTATGATACATAATTCCTTGCTACAGTACATACATAACCATAAGGACTGATATCTTAGAAAATATGTATAAATCCTATATCTATCCTACTATTTTCATGCTCATGGATGGATGAATTGAAATGTAGACACTTATGAACCGCCTCGAAGAATCTACTTTCAGCTGAATTTCGCTAATGAATAATACTTATGTTTGCAATAAAAAATGAAACAATACCATCTTCAACACTGATATCGTTGCATAAATAAGTTCAAAAAGTCACCCTTCTAACATGATCTAAGAGAATTTCACCATTAAAAAAGAAAGAAAACAGTACATTGCCTTACGAAATGTCGATTAGTGTTGAAACCTCTCCAGCTTGTGAAATTCACCACTGCGATATGATTAAAAACGCAAAGTTCTATTGCCTAATATGTTTTTAAACATTCTTATAAGTGAGTCCTCTTAGATTGCAGTTTTGTACTTAACAAATATAATTTCCAGTTATATTGATCAACAATGGAATTTTGCGATTTTATTGTAGATGTGGTTTATTATTGGAGGATTAGCTGTTATAATTCTTGTGGTTATTATTGGTGAGTTAGATATCTGCTTTTTCAATAGTTCAATAAATTTTTGTGACTAAGTATGTTGTGTATCAAGTTTATTATAATTTGGGGATCTCAGATTATTCCTCAATTGGAAAGTAGTTACTTCGTTTTTCGGAATCTAAGTTAATTTAAAGAACGCTCCGTATGTCATAACTCCGCCTGTAGCTTTTCTAGGGCTACTGCCGGTCCCAAGCCCGGGTAAAGGAGGAGGGTTGGGCGTGGGGTCCGCAACCCAACCTGTAGAAAAAACAACCTTGCTAAAAAAACGCTAATCAGAATAAACTATTTAAACTCTGTTCTTCCAGTTGAAAGGAAGAATTATGACGCCTCATCATGAAAACCGAGTATTCGAAAGTCACGAGGCCGATGGCCCTTCTAACAACCAGAACAACAATTTTTATAGGTACATGAAACTTCTGGAAATTGTGGGAGGACCAGTCAAATAATAACGGAAATAAGGAGATAAAACTTGGCAGTTCTTGGAATCAACGAAACTCTTTGGACTCTAGCTGAACACCAAAGGTTAGGTACGAGAGAGATTCTGCTTTACTCTGGTCACAAAGAGGAAGATGCTCCATACACTCACGAAACTGAACTGATGCTGTCCAAAGAAGCAAGAAATGCACTTAATGGATGAAAATTTCATAGACCCTTGATCATCAAATCATCCTTCAAAACAAAGAAGGAGGGAATGACAATGAATATTATCCTGTTATGCAGTCACCAATGATAACAATTAGGACGATAAAAATTAGGTTTATGAGAGGTTACAATCAATCGTAGCGAAGCGCCCAGGAAAGAAACTGACAATCTTGATGGGAGATCTAAACGCCAAAGTCGGAATGGACAACAACGGTTACGGAGATATCATGGGACGACATGGACTGACTGTGTTAGCCAGACATATATTGGATTAAAGCATCTTTCGTGCACGATTGTGTTGCTGCATGTTGATTGGCTATTTCTTATCCAATCAGCGCTAGTCGATACTTAGAGAAGACTCTAGAATCTTCCCATGTAAAAACTATAGATACACTAACGTTTTTCCTTATTGTGCTTCTTACTTACATCTACCTTTGTGATTTGGAATATAATTTCTTTCCTGTTCAACCATGTTCTTATATGAGGACTGGTAAAAAAACGAACGAGAATAGTGACAGATTTACAAAATTAAGTTCATTCAAATGCATAGTTATATGCGCACAACGTTCCCACACAAACGCATACACAAAGCTGCATTTGTCTCACCGGACCACACTACGGACAACTAGATCGTTCATAGTTGTCACTGAAAAATTCAAAAGGTGAGTGTAGGGTGTGAGAAGCAGGAGACGAGCTGGCATAGCCTCTGATCACTACCTGGTTGTGACAGAGATGAAACTGCAGCTAAAGGACTGGACAACTGGGGAAACAAAATTACAAAGGTTCAATACAACCTTATTCCGAGATACTGACAAACTTAACGAATTCAAGATAGTTCTCAACAACAGGTTCCATGTCTTACAAAATCTACTCAAAGAAGAAGAAACTACTATGGAGGACAGCTGAAAAGGGATCAAAGAACCATCAACTTCAACGTGTCAGGAGGTGCTGGGTCGCAAGGATCATCATCATAAGGAATGGATCTCTATGGAAACCCTGGACGGGATTCAAGGAAGAAAGAACAAAAATACAGCAATTAATATTAGTCGACAAGCAGAAATTCGTGGAAGACCTGACAACGACAGCGGAAATATCTGTAACAGAAGGAAATTTGAGACAACTACATGACTCGTTGAGGAAACTGCTAGAGAAATATAGTAAACCAGAGAGACTGGTCAACAACAAGGAAGGCAAGCCAGTCACTGAATTCAAGGACAGAGTAATAGATGGGTAGAATACTTCGAGGAATTCTTGAATAGACCAGCTCTATTGGATCCACCGGGTATTGAATCAATACATGCAGACCCTCCTATAGATGTCACTCCGCCAACGATCGAAGAGATCAGGATGGCCATCAGACAAATCAAGAGTGGAAAAGCAGTAGGACCTGAAAATATACCAGCCGAAGCACTGAAATCAGACATAGAAGCAACTGCAAGCATGCTCCACACTCTATTCAGGAGAATTTGGGAGGAGCAACAAGTGACTCTGATAGACTGGAAAGGAGACCTCGTCAAGATACCAAAGACAGGAGGACTGAGCAAATGTGCGGACTACAAAGGCATCATATTACTGTCGCTATTGGGAAAAGTTTTCAACAGAATGTTGCTGAACCGAATGAGAGACTCAGTAGACTCCCAATTTCAAGATCAACAGGCTGAATTCCGTAAAAATTGGTCGTGTATAGAACGAAGCGCGACACTAGATCATCGTTGAACAATCAGTGGGATGGGACTCGTCACTATAAATGATCTTCCTTGACTATGATAAAGCATTTGACGGTGTGGATAGGAGAACATTATGGGAACTTAAACACTATGGAGTATCTGATAAAATCGTCAACATCATCCGGAATTCATACGATGGACTACATTGCACAGTCATGCATTGAAGACAGCTAACAGACTCATTCCGATTGAGAATCGGAGTCAGATAAAGTTGCCTTCTCTCCCCTGTCTCTTCTTTTTGGTGGTCGATTGGATTATGAAGACCTCAGACAAGGTTATCTACTGTCCCTCTTTCTTCTCCTACTGGTGGTTGACTGGACTCTTAAGTCCTGCATATCTCAGGGGAAGCATGGAATAAAATAGACAGGTTGGAAGCAGCCAGACGATTTGGGCTTCGCAGATTACCTGGCCCTTCTATCCCATACACAGCAACAAATGCAGGTAAAGATAGCCAGTGTAGCAGTAGCCTCTGCATCAGTAAGCCTCAACATACACAAGGGAGAAAACAAGAATTTCCAATACAACACAGAGAACACCAACATACAAATTGATAGTAATATGACAGATGTACTGGTAGTGATAAGAATAATTAAAAGTCTGAATAGATAACTCAACACAAGGAGTAGGTTAAAATAAGTAAATGCACATCAAAATATCAGAAAGTGAAAATCACGTTGTAAGAAAAATATATGTGGATTATCAATTTAAATCGTATGCATATATCCTGTTTGAGTAAATGTCACTGGTCGATCAAAAGCTGACAAAGACTAGCTGAATAGTGTGATTTATAACACGATAATAATACTGACCTGTCGTATATTAGCAGTGGTTATATACCCGAAGTACGTTATCAGTTCGCTAACATTGCACTACGATTCCTTTTTAGTCCTTTACTTAGTTTTTCTGAAAGCTTTTTATGTCTTGGCTGATTCTCTGACCTTTATATAAGCAGTCGTGGTGTTAAACTTCATTTACGACTCGATATCTTGAGTTCTAGATTTTCAAACAATTCAGCTAAATGAATATCCTTTTCGACGATATCATTTACTCAAGCTGTGTCACTATATTCATAGCTGATAGGTTAGCAAATATAACAATCTGTTGAAAAATAGGACGATTACACCTTGTCATGGGTAAAAGAAGGCTCTATAACGGTCGCGAAGTTGAAGAAAGATAACAAGATGAAATCAAACGTGTGGAAGTTGATAGAGCATTTGACGAGTGTGAGAAATAACTAAAACCGATATTAGCTTATGTAACCAACTCATATTTAAATATTGTAATTCATCCACCCTATCGAGTATATGTATGTACACAAACTTTGTCAATGGCACTGATATTACCATACTGCACAAACTAGTGTAGTAGCAGCGCGTTCTCTGTTGTACCATCAAGCCTTATCATCTAATAGACGAACTTGTTACGATAAGCAGAAGGACAAATTTGCGCACCATTTCATCAATACATCTGGGAACTGCACTTCTATATACAATAGTCTGGTTTGTTTCTTCACAGGGCTTTGGTTCATCACTTACATTTCCCGTGTCAATTATGATGAATACATTCCTGACTTCACGAAATTTACTTACTATTTAAACTTGATAAAAATAAATTATAATCAATTTCTTAACAGATAATTGTTATTCCGTTGGTAAACTAATATTTTTAAAAATGCAGGCTTTCCAATAACTAAATATACATATTGTGTAAATTTATAATATATTGTTTCATTCCCTTATCTTCCAGTTTGGTCCGTATCTAACAAGCATAGTTGAAGTAATAAATCCCAAATCTGTTCACGAACTGAATCTGGAACATACGAGCTTTGATTATGATTGCTTTATTTATTTAAAAAAATAACTTATGATCTCAGAAAGTATTTTGTAGTAGTTGAAATGGGAGATAAATGCAAATTGTCGATCTTCAAATTAGATCTTTGTTTTCGTATGAAATTTCGACGCAGATGGACAAATTGATAGATTTAAACATTCTTTACAGTTTGGATTTACTGGGCGACAAATTTGTTGGCCAAAACCGACTAGTAACCAATTAATTTCATCCCAGTGTTCCCTGAAAGCAATCGAAATTAGTTAGTGAGCGTATGCGTATGACCATAAAGCCAAATAATTCCTGGTTTTGTGCATTACATTTTCCTATAAAGATCACTGGAGTTAATCATTTTGCCATATCTTACTTTCATGGTTCGTACAGTGACGATAAAAACATCTAAGTGCCCAGTCATTTAAAAAATTTATGTAATTACTCCAGCTCCGAGGCTTTTTACTCAAAATAACAGGATACATTCGAGAGATTTAAGCATGGCAAAGGCTGCAACTTAAATTACTTTTGTCGTACATAACTTAAGAGATCAGTATTCTTTAGTTCCTGAACTAGCTCTTAACGTAAAAATTGTCACGAGACTAAAACAAGGATAAGTTATCTCCATATATTATAAATAACAAGAAACTCAGTTGTCGGGCGCTTGATTTATGGTTATTTTTAACCTTTGGTCAATGTTATCAACCCTTCCAGGGGCCGATCTTTTTTGCTTATCGTCTAATACTTAACAGCAAGAAAGTTTTAACGATGAGGCAGTCTCTTTAAAATAAAATGATTCCATCTGTCATGCATCAAGTTGAACCACTTAGGCAAACATCATCGCAGTCTCCATCTGATGTTGTATTGCGGAGTGCTGAAGGCAGTTAGCAGGGTGTGTGGTGAATCTTTTGGGGTCATTAATCTAAAGTCTTGCGAACTCCCGGTGGATGTTATTTTATCAGACACTAAACATTCACCTCATTCATATCTTCTTGTATATCTTCGGGTAGGACGAAACGTCAATGCATTAAAATTCATGCACGCAAGCAAATGTAATAAAAAAGCTCTACAACACCTTATCTAGAAAATCGGGAATAGACATTGATCGTGACGAACAGATTGTCAGAACTGACCTAGTCAATAGCTTGTATTCTCAAACATGTTTCTAATTGAAGAAGTACAGATTCAGATCTTAACAAACATTTCAATTTGTCATAGATAGTTTATCTACTTAACTTTCGTGTGTATGTATGCAGTTATCAGTCTCGTTTTAAAAAGAAACTTTATTAAACACCTTGTGTGTAAGAATCCTATAATTCACCAAAAACGTGGTACTGAATAAAGCCACCGATAATAAATATTGTTAATCCAAAATATGTGGTCGACTTATTTGTTTTATAACGTTTCACCAAGCCACGTGGGTTTGGTAATACCAAACGTCTGTCAAAACCCGAAGTAGGAGAGGCCCGCAACTATTTTTTTGTATCCACTTTGATGTTTAAATGCGCCCAACTGGTGTTGAATGGATTTCTATCCACAAATGACAATACATATTAGTGAAATAATCAGATGCTTAAAGTTTGGTTTTCATTGATGCCCCCTTACTTTAATGATCTATATACCTGTCCAGATTAACGCAAAGATAAAATTCCAACGAAAAAATAACCAACTAGCACGATACTGTTTCCCACATACATGAATTACAACTCTTTAGGTATTTACCAATTATATTCCAATTACTACCTTGGGAGCCATTCTTCAAGGGCCAGACGAGTTTCTTCTGGAGATTTGGTTGGTTTTTTGTTCCATTTTAAACGATTGATAATTCGATGTACATGTGTATCGACACCGATTCCAGTCACTTTTTTCCACGCACATTGCATTGCTAAATATGCCATTTTCGGACCGACACCTAGAGTGGTCAATAGAGAATGTAAACACATTAACCAGGCAAGGTGCATAACTCCTCAACAGTCTCTGGTATATCTGAGTTGTATTTTTCCTTTAAGATCTCGCACGTTTTCTTTATATTCAAAGCTTTTGTCTAAGAGAAGCTCTGGCGAACTTAGATGCTACCTTATAAAATCCCACTGGGTATATCAACTCCTGCAAGTCTTCTGTCTTCATACTTGTCAATGTTGTAAGCGTGCACCCTCTCAACTTCAGACGCTCCATTGCAGCTGCCGTAATTTGATCTTTCGTCTGGCTTGACAACATAAGACTTATCAGTACCTGCAATCTAAATGTCTATGAGTTTCAAAATATTTAGCAAAGGCTATCATACTTTCGGATGTTCTGTTTCATCAGCCAATCTTTCGCAACCCATCGAGTCTACCGGGGCGTCGCGACTTTCGCGCATTTTTCGAATATTGCTAAGTTGATCCCGCCAGTTTGGTGGTTCCCATTTACGTTTCATATGCTCCGAGACACCGTCCTCAATATCGCCTACTCCAACTTGTTCTTGAGATCGGTTTCTTTTCGTCATTCGCTTTACAATGGTTCGAAGGTTGGGGTACCTGTGGCCGAAAACAGTACTCTATTAGTGGGTTGGTAAGTATGCATACTACCGAGGGAATGGGATTAAATAACTACTAGTTTTTATAAAGGTTGGACAGATTAGATTATTCAATCAATGCTTTAAAGTGACAGCAAGCAACATTTCAGTTCATTCGTGAAAATATGAATACACAAGTAATATACAACGACATTACGTTAGGCTGGTGTTATCTATGAATCTAACTACAGTTTAGACATTATTTGTAGTTGTGATCTGTCAAAGTAGCTTTTTCACTTACTGATGAACGACCGACAAGTACTTTAGTGAAAGATGTATATCCCATACAAATGACTTTGAAATTATTCATCTATATATTGAGTTTCCCATTATGATGAATTATCTGGGACGAGTACTTAATCGGGTTTTCGTTTTCTGAACAACTGGATAGACATGCATTCTTAATAGGTCATAATTTGACTATGTTAGGATGTATATCTTCAGTAAGACACTGAACAATTATCGGTGGTTTAATTGTTCAATAAGCTAAAGCATATTGAATATGTTGTAGCTTATGTCAATGGATCGTAAATAGGAAGTTCTGTGTGTATTTAGGCGAAGTAGACAATTTGGTGGACATTTAGGCGTAAACTAGGCAATTCGGCAGGAATTTAGGCGAAAAGTAGACAATTCAGCGGATAATTAGGCGAAAAGTCGGCAAAAAGGGGGAAATCGGCAGTATTTTCCCCGGACTGGCGAAAAAGGCGACATTCTGATGCGTTTTGCCCTTTATTTCACCTTTCTCTTCCAAAGCATTTACCCCTTTGTTCGCCTTTATTTGCCCTTTTTTGGTTGTTTGGGTCCATATGGTTACTGTTGAGCAACTACATTCTGACACAGCATTGGACTGCAACACGAGCACAATAAACGAATATGACACTTGAAAAGCTCCTTTAGTCATAAATTGTTGTTTCATGCTGCTTCACATACTACTCAAGTCAAATATTGCTGAACCATGGTTCAGCACCACCCGCTTACTTGGGAAGCGTATCGCAAAGATTCGAAATACGACTGTTAGCACTCAAATTTCATTCCTTGCTTGACGTTTATTCCATGTACTGCTTACTATAAAACACAGATTAATTAAGTCACTTCATAGATCTGTGATAACGTGAAGCTGATAACAAACAACAATGAATAATCAGATATAAAAGTGTGAAGAAACCTGGTCAATTATTAATTCATTTCAAAAAACATCATGTAAATAGCAAAAATTACTATTGTAATTTCATTTTAAGACAATGAAAACAATCTGAAATCAATGCCATCTTAGCTATGAGCAGTTCGTCCCTCTAATCTGTTTCCGACTCTCGATGCAGTTTGAACGAGACTATAATTTATGGACAAACCAATCAGATTTACCATAGCAGGTCTGAGATTTTGTCGCGAAATTCAGTTTTAGTTTGGAAAGGACAGGAGGTGTGATGGCCTGTGTTAGTCTTGGCAATTATAGTCTCTCAGCTGATCAAACTTTCTTTTGAAAGGGTCGACGAATAGAGCCTCAATCACGTGCTGATTTAATGCATTCCACTCATTGAAGATTCGATTGGAAAGTTGACAGTCAGCTGGCAAGTTATTTGTCCTGGGCTTGTGAAGTTTTTTCGAGTGTCCTCGTAAATTCTCTGTTTTGGAAGACAAGAAAAAATTAGGGCATATCAGGTGTAAATTTATCACTTAGCAATTTGAAAACTGTAATCAAGTCGCCTCTAATTCTTCGTTATGACAACGGGAATAGGTTTAGCTTAGCCAGCCGAGCATCATACGGAAGCTTCATTATTTCGGGACTCAGCTTAGTTGCTGTCCGCTGAACCTTTTCCAAAAGCTCACTACCTTTTTTAAGCAGGTGCTAGCCTCTTGTATGCAGTACTCAAGTTTAGAACGAACGAATACTAAGTCAAAAGCGTTTTAGCGTCGACATGATTAGAAGCCCTACGTATTGACCACAAAGTTCTAAAACCTTTGGCGGATATAGCGCGGCAGTGCGCAGTAGTTTTTATGTCTTGGCTAACGATGACTCTTAAGTCATTGTGTGTCTGGACAACAGGTAACTCAGTGTTATTCATCGTGTATGTATCTGTACCTTGATGACCGATATGCATCACAATATACTTAAGAGTACATATTGGGAACTGCCAGGTTTGAGACCATTGAGAAAATTTCTACGGCTCATTTTGGAGTTCCAAGCTATCACCCTTACATCACATCTTTCTCCATATCTTGAAATCGTCAGCATATAGCAAGATCGATGATGATAGGAGACGAGGAAGGTCATTTACATACAAAAGGAATAACACCAGCCTCAAAACTGTACATTGTGGCACTCCACTAAACACAGTTTTCCAGATTGATAGCTTTGAGTTCACCCGTACTCTTTGTTGGCGCCCAACTACGAGGTCTTTCATCCACATCAATAGATTGCCACCAATCCCGACGTTTCTTAGCTTATATATTAGCCGGTTGTGCGGATCTTTGTTAAAAGCTATGCTGAAGTTAATGTAGGCTACGTTTACAGATAGCTTTTGGTCCTTAAGAGCTCACCAGCTTTCATGAACAACTAATGGGTTAGTGAGACAAGAATAATCTATTCTAAAAGGGTGATATTATCCGCAACGCAACCATGTAAGCCTAATGTATCGCCCAGTGTAATATCGGTCATCTGTGCGTTCAAATAACCACAGATTTTGTCATTTCATAATGTATTTTTAATTAAATAGTTAGATTATGTAGTTAATTTTACTGTTTTTAATTTTTATTCGCCACGTTCATTGCACACTGGGATGATATCTCAAGTCATAGTGAGTTTATTCACATAGTTGATTGTTTCCAGATAAACTGTCAGTGCATGATTTTACTGAAGAAAGGTTTGTGTACTGTAAACTATGTTTCTATAAACAACTACCTGTTGTCTTCAGTATGAAGGCAGTATATATGTATCCTTTTTTTAGGTAAGTTCAACTGGCCTATGTTGCGTGTTTTGGTTTTATCGGCTTAATTATGTTCATTTAACTACTTTGAGCAACATGTCTGTGCAAATGAAACAATAACTATGACACGCTTAGTTAAGTGTTCTTGGTTGTCGTATAATTCAGTTTAGTAGAAAGAATTATGATATACTTAAGTATAGTGCTTGAAGCCTGTAACGAAACAGATCAGTTTAGTAAGTAGAGTTGCCTGTTTCCACTGTGTATACGGATTCAGATCAGTCCGATTAAAAATAGGAAAAAACGTGCTTTTGATGCTGTTGCTGTCATACATTATAAGTTAGCGATAAGTATGTTTATTGTTTATTTCTAGACTGTACATACTACTCAACAAGGGCGGCCTGCTTGAGCATTTGGGCTACCTGTTCCTGCCATCTAGATATTTCAACAAGTTATCTATTTTTGTTTGTTTTAATATATCATTATGTTTATTAATCGCATGACCTATTCTGCTGCGTTTATGAAAAGTGTACAACCTTTCGTTGTCAAAGTTGCAAAAAACTCAATAAGAGACAATGTGGTTGCTGGCAATATACAACGAAAAGAATGTACATCATTCAGATGCTCATTTACTGAACTGATAACATCTAACTGGCGATCCCTTAATATTTATCGCCAGGACCGACCAAGAAGAAAGAAACGGAAACTTGTTGAAATACTTTACGCTGAGAATTCTATATTGTACCAAAAATATAATATTGAATAAAGCTGATAATAATAATATTAATAATAATACATCCATCACTAACCATATTTCATGATCACTGTCATTAAACAATTTCCCCAGCAATAACATCGGTAGCAAGATAGCTAAGCGTCTGAGCTTTTAGTTGCCCTCAAAACAGCAGTATACAGCCTTAAAAGATGAGTGTTCTGTGTCTCAATGAAATGCAGCTAGCTGTGTACAAATGTTAAGAATGTTTTTGACAACTGTGACTTTTAATTTATCAGACACTAACTCTGCTTGTATGTCTCCCTATTAAACTAGACGCAGATGCATGGGAATACTTAAATGAGAGCAAAATAATAAAAGCATTGCGATACGGTACTAAGTCCATGTTATGCTTTGCACAAGTAATAGTAGCTGACCTAGTCGAATATTCATGAACTCAAGGTAAATCACAACTGCACAAATTATTTTTTTCTAAAAAACATGTAGTTTAGTTATTTATCTATTCCACATTTCTGACTAAATTCATTACTATTTTCTCACTTAGAATGCGACAGGAGTGAGCCTTCAAAGATCCTAAGAAGTATTTCGCCTTTAGAACTATGGCCCTGTAGCGGTAAATAAATCCCCAAAATAAATAGCTCTGTAAGTTTTCGACATTGGATGCTGACCAGATTAGTTTTAGTGGACTCACGTAGCTGAAAGCGCTCGGCTATGCATCCGCAACAGATCACGAGTGGGGACGCTGTATTCAACATCTACTGCAATCGCTAGCCAGAATAGATCATACAATTCCGATATATTGGCAATCGTCAAATACAACTTCTGATCTCCTCGATTCTGTCTTTTGATTCCTCTTGGTGGGTACGAGTTATATCAGAAAGTGTCACTGGTAAAAGCGTTGTCAAACACTGAATACCTGTGTCATTTTCAGCCCTATGAAACTGTTTACGGGAGACACAACTAACAGCAGATTATAAAAAGGATGCTGGATGTCCATTTTAGTCTCGCAACCACTTCTAGTACTTTTCGAGTTACTTCTTTTAACCTTTTGTTTAGAAAAAACAACAAAGACTGTAGCTTGACATTACCAGTGCAACTTTTAATCGAGGACTTCGTTTAAACATTTGTTTAATATTCGATTCTTAATGAAAGTTCCTGAATAAATTTTTAAATCTAATGCTACTTTGTTTTATCTACTTAATCGTTGCAAGAATTTTGTGATATACGAGCCTCACAGCATCTAGTTCATTTGTAGTAAGTTTAAGTGATTTAGTACGTATCTTCGTCATTTTTTAAGAACACCTACAGACTCGGGTCCTCTCACAAATTATTCTAGCCGCCATGAGTTGTCACGGCAGCTGATGGATGGACACACGTTACACATCCTAACCGTCCCCGCGTCTAATGTCACAGCTCCTTATTCAAATGTCATATGATAAGCAAGTAATGCCCATTCCCACACTAATGGAACACGAGTAACTCTAAGGCACCATGTATGGTACCTTACATTGGTCTACGCACTCGCTTAGCTCTTTAGTGAGAATATTACTACAGTTCTGCTAAAAATCCCATGAACCCCCCTATTATTATTATTATTATTATTCACAAACATCTTATGTGTACATAAGTGTTGTGAAGAAACCATAATACACAATTTTCAATAATGTCAGCATTATACTTGCCATTTAAAAAAAATTTAGAGCAATAATAGTAGAATATTAATAATAATATATCGGGTCTGTGCAATTGAGAATATTGAATTGAGTTTAAAGAAGGAAATGGAGAAAATAAGGAGACGTGAAATACGCAAACAGTCTAATAGGCGTGTTTATGAACACAGAGCAAGAATAAACGACTATGTGTGTATCGTTAAATTAGTAACAAAAGTAATTAGGAAAAAATAACTTATAATTGCAGTAAGATATGACGCTAGAATAGATGTTTGTGCAGTTATAGTTTGGAGTGATGCGATGAAAGTCTCAACTGAGTGAAAAGGATAATAAAATAGCAATATGTATGAGACATATATGCATAGTGAATATAAAACAGGTCTGAGAAGTTAATGTAAATATAACACAAGTTATTGTCTTAATTACAAACTTCGTAATCTTAAGAATAATATTTATTTAGTGGGAAAGAAGAGAGAAAAGAAGTGAACACTTAGTGAAAAGTTTTGATCCATGATAAGAATAATAATTGTGTAATGAATATCAATCAATCTTCATTTGCTGCATATAGCAATTTTATTTTTCAGAAGTAAGATATAACAGAATTTGAGTAATATGGCAGTATACGGCAGATGTATGTGGTACATGTCTTCATCGATTAACTGAAATAGAGAATACGGATATTAGCTTAACAGGCTTATTTAGAAAGA